ATATATATATATATATATATATATATATGCTCAGTTCATGTTATCCCTGCGGCCTCGAACTTCGCCCGGGTTAGTGTTGAGCGGGGAAGTAGTCAGGATGCTTAAGCTGTCAGTTCTCCCAATGCCGCTGGCTTTTTCATAGTTCCGGGGGGATTCTGAGTGCAATGGCGCAAAGCAATGGGACTGGTGGTGAGAGGTGGCAGCATGAGTTTGAGGGCAACTCCCTGCAACTGACAAGGAAACCAGACATGAAAGAACAGTCAAGCCTCAACTCTAAATGCCCTAGGACCCTATTATCACTGTTAAGCATAATCTTCGCTTTTAGAATGCAGCCTGTAAGCTAATAAGAGCAATCAACTTGCAACAAAAGTGGTCCTTACCCTAACTCTGGTTCCTTCGGCAACCTGTCCTGCTCTAAGATTTTAAGGAGCATCGGCGCCACTAGATATACAAACAAGAAAACTCCCGTTATTACAGATGAAAATATGTTAAATCGCGTCCGTCGAGACAGACGAAAGAAACTTCCTTCAGTGTTTCTTGACTCAACGGCGGACTCATTTAGCGCAACTGTTGACTGGCCAACAGGAGCCGCTCTTCCCGTTCCAAAGAAAAAGCAGAAGAACAAAAGGTAAAACCCTGCAGTTAACAGACGCATTTTTGCAACTGTTATGCTCGCATAAGGGGCCACATGGCAGCAGCTGGTTCTTGCTCAAACCGGTACAGCCTTCTCGGCACGTAGCAGCACGGCTCAACGTCACGAAGGAGTTGTGCCTCCTCAGCTTAGATTTGACTTGTATATAAAGAATACAAACATCAAATATACAGAAGGACGCAATCAAATGTTGACTCCATCATATAGTCGTACTACCGCTGATCGTCTGCTCGCTGAACAGGGAGTTGAGTGCCGTGGGGCTGGTTGGCCCTGGTGGTGGTGAGGTCTGGGGACCACACATCCTGCGAAGTTGTCACTTTAAAATTGCCGAAGTTTCTGGGATTATTACGCTAATAGCTGGAGATGGCAAACGTGAGCTGTGTTGTAGACTGCCGGACCGGCAGTTGCCTGTTTGCAATGTTTTTGTTGCACGGAGTTATGTAGCTGCACTGAACCTGTGGATGAAGACATTGGGTGGAAGGGTCGCTGAGTTCCCTCACAGTTCGTCAGAGCCCCTCTATGAGGCGTACACAGCTAGGGGGAGATGTCGGCGCCCTCCACTTGGTTCGACTTTTCCGCCGAGTGTATCTACACTGCACAGAAACAGAAAAAAAACAAGTCTTGGCGTGATGGCTTTTGCACGTGCTGCTTTGAGAGGGGTTGGATTGTTTTGAAACTATTTCCTGAAGGCGCCAGCACTACAAGCGAGCCCCTCGAACTCTGGCGCCTTTCTCCGAATACGCCGGAGGCAGTAGCGGAGTGAGTTTGTTGGGAGATCCAGTCTCTTACGTTGCTTCCTCGTAGTTCGTACGGAATGCTTTTCCAGGAGGCAAACGTCAGCTGCTAGTAGGGGATATCACCATTTTTGGGAAGGCAGGATTGGGTGTGTATGTGCCAGTTTCTCTGCACCGGCTCTTCACATTCTTCTATGCACCTCGATGTTCATGCTTTTATGGTGTATCCACTGCTGCAAATTGCAGCAGATTTCAAGTTTCAATACGGAAAACGCATTACCTTTTCTGACATATATCTGTAGAACCGTGGACTGTGCGCTAGGATTGTATCTGGCCTCTGGATAGCGTGGGAGGTTGTGACTGTATGCATTGTTGTCTTCTCAGGCTGGAAATTGAACTCCAGGTTCATCTGGTTCAATTATTAGGCAATCCACAGCCACTACGGGGACAGTGGCAGCCCCAGGGACAGCAACAACCTCAGCCAGGAGCTGTGCAGGAGAAGGCGACCAGCTCCCAGTCTACCAGCTCTCTCTCTTCATCGAATTCACACTGCGCTGCTTCAGGAGCAGCTGGCGGGAGGGTTCTTCCAAAGCGACGCCTGGCAGGGGGCTTGCTTCGTCCTAATGGCATATCGCCACAAGGTTTTCGAAGGCCGGCACCTGTTCCTCCGGATGCAGCGGGATTCGGGGTTTCAGGGCTTGATGTGTCGGAATGGAAAGATAGAGAGTCTGCTCATCCCAATAGCTGCCCGCCTACTGGCACATTTGTAGGATTTGTACCTCCCTTACGCCGAGCTATAGAGGAGGTGCCAAGTACCTTCGAGCCTCTTCCCCTAGAGAAGGCGTGGGCAGTTAACGGAACCAAGGCACTGCTCTCCTCGATTTGCCTATGCTGCGGACGTTTAGAAGGCTGTTGCTGCTGCTGCAATGACGATCCTAACTTTGAATCGTGCATCGCTATAGCGGATTTCTTTCGCCCGTTGTTTGCTGGGGTTCAGACGGAGGCGCTGCTACCGTGCGAACAGCAGAACCGACGGGCAGACGTGTTACCCCCAGTTATTGGGAAAAGCTGTAGTCCTTCTGGTCAAGATAACAGCGTAGATAGGATAAATACCCCAGCAGAACCTGAAAATGCTGATGATTGCTCCCTTGCGACTGCTGCGGCGCAGCCCCAGTGCGACATCCAGCCTCTACAGGCAACGTCGAAAGCTCCCTTCCAGTATGAGGCTTCTCTCGAGATTCCTCCGGACCCAACCAAGCCAGCTCAAGGCGAGAAGACTCGCGTGCACCCGCCAGGCTTTGGTGCTCCGTCTTCAGCAGCAGGCTGCTGCGCCGGGGCCGCTGCTTTCTCAATAGGCCATAACGCAGCCCCTCCTCGCATCACCCAGCCCAGAAGCAGATTCCGTGCACTTGCGGGGGGATGCATGAATCCAGCCTCTAGCGGTTTCCAAGCGGCTCCTTATCGTAGCTGCCAAAACAGCGGAAGGACTTCGACGAGCAAAGCCAGTGCCCCAGGCCCAGCAGCGGCGAGATGCAGAACCTTTAACAAACCTGGGGCGACGGCAGGATATACTGAAGCAGCAAACAGGCGGAACTACACAGGCCAACTGACTGTGAAGCCTCAGCCGCCACAACCGCTACAGACGGAGCAACGTGAATTGTGGCAACAAAAAACATCGTTTCAGCAAGTTGCGTCCGAGGCAGGGGTAGCACCAGTTGGGGATCTGCAGCGTCAAGCCCCTCCCCTGCTGCTTGCTGAAGGACTGCCTGAAGGGCATCGCGAAAACCTGGTAGACTATATCCCTATTACATTCTGCACGGCACCGACGGAGATGCCGCCTTTCAACGTAAGAAGCGAACATGTTTAGATATTGGCCTTGTTGGTGTGGTAGTTTGCAGCCTCTACAACGGCACGCTTAGGTGCCATGTAGAGCGCCACACGCTTCTGGGTGCAGGGTAGATAGGCCTTGGGACCAGGATGTGTTTGCATGTACATAGGCGGCGTACGCAGCTGCCCGGCACTTGTTCCTGCCTACGACCCTTGAAGAGAAGGGTTTGACGGCAAGTCGTTTGGCGCTGCGCTATTTCAACAGCACCCTTGTCTCTCTGCAGACTGCACTGGCAGAGACAGCACAAAATGTTTGCTGGAGCAATGGCTGTGAGCCTTTCTGCATGGACCTGCCTGCACACGGGCACCAACGTCTCTCGGCATTAGTTTGAAGAAATTCGTTTCAGGTTCTCACATAGGAAATGTCCAATCAATCTCGAATGCCACTTAGTTCATGTAGTGTATTTGGGGCACATACAATTCACAATACCTGCAGGCAGCTTGTACAATGCATTTGGCTCGTTGCTGCTGCCACAGGTTCTCCAGGAATGAGTGAGGCCCGATTCGTTGTAGAAGCCGCATGCATCCGCCTGGATGGGAAGCATCATTATGGATTTCAGCAGAGAAATGCTGAGGTATGCGTCACCGCGGACTATAGGAGCGGTTGATATATACTCTTGCGCATGTTCTTTCCAGTAGATAGCAGATGGGGGCAGCATAGTAATATAATATTGCACGAAGTGCTGCTGCTAATTCGTGCATGAAAGGAGCATAGCTTAGAACATACCGTGCGCACACACACCATCCGGCTGTTCGGTTTCTGCTAGAGGGGTGTTGGAAACAGCGCCATTCAGAACAAGCGTGTCGATGACGAGGGGCATCGCCACCTGTACATTGAAAGCAACGTGTGTATGGCGGTAGTCTCAAGATTTGTTGAACAGCGTCCCTGGGTGCATTCTTATCAGGTCTCCTAATTCATCAGCAGACGTAGCACCCGAGATTTGTCGATATCTGTGTGTGGGTACATTGCTTGTCAGGCGCACCGGCAGCGAAAGGCACAGCAGCAGCAAATGCGGCGATACCAAAAGCTGCGCCAGCGGAAGAAGAGGCGCATCGAATGCGGGAAGATTGTCAGCTCTGCAAGCGAAGCTGATGAACTGGAGGAAACATCCGAAGACAGTGAATGCGAGGCGACTGCCCCGAGGCAACCAGGGCTCCTCCTTGACCTCTCAAAAGCCAATATCTTGCCAGGCCCCCTCTTGAGTGTGCTGGAGGGAAATCCTGCAGCCAAGACGTCTAGCATTCCCTTTGAAAAAGCTCTGTCAATGAAAGAACAGCTTGGGCGCAATGATATATGGGCGTTTTCTCTTGACGGTAAAGCAGCTGGCGTGTCGCACTTTTATAAATACCTTTCCGGGGTGTTATGTGTTTTTGGGCCTATGGAGTGTGAAGTAGCTGCAGCGATCTGAATGCAGTGCAGGGTGCTGCAGCAGGAAGCGTCTTCTGCACACGTCAAATTTGGCTGGTGTCGGCTCGAGACACGTGCTGCGGTCCATTGGCTGTTGCCGTTGCTTTCGTTTTCAGGGCGCTTTGAAGATTGGTCAAAGATCCTTTTGGTTCGAAGCATGTGGCGTGGGGCGAGCCCTCACACGAGCTGCATAAAGGTTTCAGTGTTGGGTCCCTGGCCGGTGGCTCTAAACGCGGTTAGAGTACCTTTGATTCGGTTTGGCAATGGCCAACTCACTCAGGCCTCTTTACCAGCTCCGCCGCCGCTGCTTCTTCAGATTCGCCAGCTGCTGCAAGGAAGATGCCGTTCTATTGGCGGGGTTACAGCCGTTTGGGTCGGAAGACTTCACGATGAGCTTGCCTCAATTGAGGCGTGCCATCGGCTTTTTAAGGTGCATCTCGTCAGTAGAAAGGCAGCAGTCCTTATTTAAAATTGTGATTACAACACATGGAACAGACGACCCGACATCTTGGCCAGACCCTTTCCGTTCCCATGTCATTAAAAGTGTTTCTTTACGGCAGAAAACGTCTGATGACTTTACACGAAAATACACCCAAGCATTTACTGTGCGAACTGTGTAGGCTGAGATGGCGCTCAACGCGTTAACAGTGGAAGTAGGACTAAACGTGAAATGTTTGGACGCTGCTTCAATGGAGCTTGGCAAGGCGTGCGCTGCTCGTGTCCTTGGGCTTGGCGATCACGAAGGGAGAGACAAAGCAGCTTTTGACGCAGATTCGACGATCAGCCAACAAATAATGATGGTAAATGTCATTTGCGACTGGGTCCCTCCTGGATACCCCTCCTCGAAAAGATTCATCCGTGCCAACTTGCCTTCCCTACACAACTTCAGAACAGAATACGGGCAAATGGCGCTTCTGGTTGGTTTGTGCAGGATGTAAGCAGCGAAGATGCGGAGGCCGTAGTGTGTCATTGTTCCAATGGCGGAGGCAGCTGGATGCTAAACGAAGAGCAGCAACGGGTCCTCATTGCCATTTCGAGGTGGTTTCGTTACTCCGATGAGCGTCGCCCATTTGAATTGCGGGGAGAAACTCAGCGTCATGAGGAACAACATGAGGAGGTAGAGAGATCTGAAACAAAGACTCGTCCAGATCGAAATTGTCAAGACCTGCAACAAGATGGAGTATCTATCTTTTCGCAGGATAACCAGCACCCATCCCTCTGGTCGACGACTCAAGCTGATTCGTCTGCTATACAGGCAAGAGGCGAAGATTGTCGTAGTTCCATTCCCATGTGCGCCTCCGTGGCGGCACAGGGATGCATCACGGGCCCCTCAGCAGGGGCGTTGCCGGGTGATGAAGACGTCGCTGATCTCTGTCTTGATGCCGAGTACTTGGATGAAATTCATCGGCAAAAAGAAAATGGTGTAGCGGCGAATGTTGCTAGCGCAAGCTGCTGTGTGCCTACAACGGACTCATGCACCTTTCTGCCGAGCATTCTCAGCGAGGACGCGAAAGACGGTCTTAATGACCAGAAGCACAGGATGCCCCAGTCCTCTATCAGTGTCCCCAAATCCGGACGGGTTCCTCATGAAATCAACACACCCGGCAATACTCAGAACCGGACCAGTGGTCCTTCGGAGGTTCAGAAACTCCGCCATATTCGTTCTAAGCAGGCATGTGCAACCGGCGCATTCCAGCCTTCGGCTGTCTCTGTCGCCTTTTCATCATCACTGAATTCAACAGCAGCTAGCATGCCGACCTCCTCACCACCCGTGTTTCTCGTCCAGGGTGTCTTCGGCGCAGGCAAGACAACTTTGCTCGCAGCCACACTGGCAACCCTCTGCAGGTATGGGCGGCAGCATACGCATGCATTCTTCTTGTTCAACAGGGTTAAGGGCTTGAACATCCGTGTGTGCCTTGCAGCAATCGACGGTTTTGCTTCTTTTTGTATTCATGTGCTACTTAGGCTCCTGGATCTAGCGAAGAGCCGCAGCCATGTACTGTTGGTATGTGCAACTAATGCAGCTGTTGATGGCGTATTGTTGCGGCTGCTAAGGCAGTATGATTGTAACGACTTTGCCCGCATTGGCCGCCTCTCCGAGATGCAGCCTGAGCTGCTGCCGCACGCTATTTCCAGCAGCGCTGCTCGGAACTCAGCCGTGCATGAGTTCAAGACCGTTTTGACCCGTCTGCTAGCTGCACCGGGTGCCCGCCCGGCCCTTGCAAGCATGGCGAAAGAACTCCTTAGAGGCGTCGACAGTGGTGCTTTCCCTCCATCAATGCAGGTATTACAGGCAGCATACATAAATTGATCGCTTTGAGTAGGCGTTTTTGTATGCCGATGACTTCCGGTATTAGACGTTCTCTGTCTGGCCCTACATCTGCTTCCAGGTGTAGCTGCCGGTCTTTAAGTGAGTTGTGGCTGCTGGGTCTGTGCCTGTGCTGCAGCAATGGAAGCGGCGCCGCATCTGGGCGACAACATGCAGTTCGTTTGTAAGCAGTGATATGTTCTCTGCTGCTTCAGACGGCATAGCTGCAGGAACAGTTTTTCCTTTTCTGTTGATGGACGAGGCGTCGCAAGTTGCGGAGCCATTGGCAGCAGCTGTGTTGACGCGGGCTAATCCACTGCGGTGCATCTTTCTGGGTGACACACGCCAGCTGCCTCCGACAACACGTCTTCGAGGTCCCGTAGCGGGGACAGCCTCCTCTCTCTTCTCCCGTCTTCTCCACCGTGCAGCGCCACCGCCCGCGGTTTCTGAAGGCCAGAGAGCCTCAGCGCATGCTGTTGAAATGGGGGCAAACCCGTCTTGCCAGAGCAGTCGACTACCTCGATCAAATGCTCTTTTCAGTGTGTTTCAAATGCGGCTCCAATACCGCTGCCACCCCGACTTGGGTAGTTTGGCTGCGGAGTTGTTTTATGGGCGTTTCGTGGCTCACGGGGTGACTGCGGCTTCTCGGCAGTCGTTGCTGCCAGAATGGAAGGGCGCGCTGTGCTTGGCAGTTGTTCGTGGGAGTCGAGAAACAAAAGCTGGTCGGTCGCTCGTGAATGTGCATGAAGCAGTGGTGGTTGCGCGTCTGGTGCAGCATGCGCTGCATGGCAGCCATGCGACGAGCGTCCAAAGCTCAGGACAAGCGGGAGGCGGATTTCAAGCTGTGAGGCCCAGAGCGGAGGACTTGGGCGTCATCTGCTTCTATCGGGCACAGGCAGAGGAGGTCAAGAGGCAGCTTCTCCGACTCCTGCCGAAGGCAGTGGTAGATTCGGTACAGGTTTCCACCGTTGATGCCTTCCAGGGGTCAGAGAAAGAAGTCATCTTCCTCTCTCTCGTGCGTTCAAATGCACATCTGTACGGCTCAGCTGCAGGACAGCAGCAATTAATACGTGGAGGCACCCACGACTTCCTCACTTGTCCTCATAGAGTTTGCGTTGCCTTGACGCGGGCCAGAAGGCAGCTCGTTATTGTTGCTGCCGACACATTTCTTAAGCACCAAGGTGGCCTCTGGTCACATGTTTGCCGCCGAGCCACTCAAATTCACATTTAGACCTTTTTGTTTGCCACCCACCCTATGACTATTTGTGCCATTTCTAACTGCATCATCGTTAACGCCGACAACAGCTGTTAGTGCGTCTACACGAAAACAGGAAAAGTGGCTGGCTATCTCGTTTCTTCTGGTAAGGCTTTATGGCCTTAGATACAGTGTCTGTTTAGTCAGCGCTATGATTTCCACGTATTAGCAGAGACGTAAAGTTCGTTGAATACTACCGTCTATGCATTGTGTGCCTTAGGGCAATCGCTCTGTTGTGCATTTTTTTTGAGGCAACAAGGAAAGCTGCAACAGCACAATTACAGGTGCGGATGATTCTACTGAGTCCTCCGGCCGCAGCCGTTGCTGTTCAGGTCCAGGTGCAATGAAGTGAAGGCAATGCACGGCACCCGAGCTCAAACAATTCATAAAAAGCAGTGAAGCGCACGGCTATGAGGCCTCAGATTACCGCCAAAAGTCTGAGACAGCCCATCTGCGTGATGATGGGCAATGGCCTTCGTTGGGCGCTTCCCCAACTGCGCTGCAAGGTCAGGGGCATTTGCCTCCATGGAGGTTCTGCATTGGATATTGGATGAACTTTGTCTGATTTCCGCTACCCCCGCTTCAGTTTGCTTTGCTGTTTGCAGATGTGCCTCTCTGTCTTGAGGCATTTCTACAGCACGCGCCGCCTCCCGGGTATCACGAATAAAACATATACTCATATGAGTTATCAACCCAACTGCATATCCGGCGATTCGCTGGCCTCGTAGAAACACCCGGAGGGCCCCCAATCCACATGCATACACTTAAGAAGGGGCCCTTTTGTTCTGGCTGCTGCAGATATAGCAGCTGCAGCATAATCATCTCCTGTTGCCGTCCCACCTGCTGATGCAAGTGGAATTTCTGCAGCAGGATGAGCAGCAGCAGCTGCTGCTGCAGGCGCTGCTGCTGTCGCTGAGCACGGCGACGCCTCGCTGTGAGAAGATATCCTTGTATCTTGAATAAGTAATAGAACTATTATTTCACGAGGTATACATACACGCAATAAAACATAATAATCCAATTTAGATATAATATAAATAAAGAAAACAAATAATGACATGCATGCGTACACATATATAAAGAATAGGTATACAGCAGCACAGCTCCTATCAGAGCGCGTAGTTGCATACCAAACGCTGTCTGAGCCATTTTACTTTTCTTCCAACAAAATCCATTTCAGCAGATCTTCCGGTGTTTCTGCCCTTCCAATTTCTTGCACTTGGGCCCAAATACGGGGCCCCCCAGAAAAAGGGCCCACCGCCGATATACAAGGGCCCCAGATATGGAGCCTTAAGAAGAGGAGGAGCCCCCGATGACCATAAACCGAGCTCCCAGAAGGAAGGTGTTAGTTAACAGGAGGCAGACACTCCAATTATAGCAGAGAACTCGCTGCCGGTTGCTGGACCCTTCTGCTCTTGAAACGTGCATGCACGACCAAATAAAGGGTCCTCATTTGTGGGCCCCCCATTGAACGAACCCTTAGAATAGGGTATCCTTAGAAGAGACTCCTCTCGACGAGTGGCCCTGGTTAAGAGGATCCACCCCTTTAGAGGCCCCATAATAAAAGGGACCCGAATTGGGGCCCCCTTATGGATTTATTCTTTGGCGACGATGAAGCTTTTGACACGATCGCAGCCTCTGTCTAAGGCGGGGAGGCCTGTGGCACAGCAGCAACAGCAGCAGGCATTTGAGGCATGCTTGCAGATTCTTGTCTGTCTCCTCCCCCAGTCGTCGTTATGCCCACGAATTTCTTGTTAATGTTCTGCAAAGCCCAAATACACAAATGGAGGGCCGCCAGGAGAAGAGAAAGAAGACAAAGAGGAAACATTGACACAGAAGACAGGCAAATATGGCTAAATAAAGAAAAAGACAACAAAAACAAAATATAAGAATATTGACACATATAGGAGGCCTACCCTTATCCGTGTTAAGCTGATCCTTCAGCGTCGCATTAAAAGACAGTTGGTTCTGCAGAGACAGAAGAGAAGACAGCCGACACAGAAAGGTTTAGAGGGAGTGGGGGAGTCGAGGGGGGAAGGGGTCTCTGTCCTATTCGCTGGTCTATATGTTTCTGTATTCCCTTTCTTCCTCTGTTTACATCCCTTTTGTCTACATTTCTATTCCCTTTTCTTACTTGATCATTAGAAGGAAGGGAAATAAGACAAACAGCATCATCTCCCTGGCCAACGACGAACAGTCCGGGGACAGACGCCACCAATTGCCTTATCTACACAACAGCAGACCCACCCGATGCAAGTTCAGGTATACATACAGCTAAAAATAAAGAATTCCATAGCATACAACACATTGATACAAGAAGCATGCATCGATAGGAGGAGACAACAAGCAGAAAACGAAGAAGAAATAGACATTAAGTCATGAACAGGAAGAATTATTCTCCTCCATAAAAGAATAAAGGCATAAAAGAAAATTAAATAAAAAAAGAGAAAAGAAAAAAGAAATAAAAAACAAATAAACGTACATCTGTGCATCCTGCATGCGCCATTGGTGTCTCCAAATCACAGCCGTAAAGTTTTCTCCATTCTTCGGCGATCTCCGACAGACGCACTCCTTGGACACCCTGCATAACAACACCAATAAACAAGTTAGGGTTTAGGGTTTAGGGTTTAAGGGGTTTAGGGCTTAGGGTTTATTATGATCCTGTGCTGTAATGGATAGATGAGAGGGAGAATAAAACAAAAAGAGTCTTCCTGCTGCTGTTGCTGCTGCTGCTGTTGTTGCTGCTGCTGCTTACATTCTCAGAAAGCATTTGGGCGTCTTGCATTGCCTTCCAGCGGCCCTGCTGCTGCAGCTCCTGTAGATCGTCCTGTTGTTGCTGCTGCTGCAGCTGTTGTTGTTGCTGCTGCTGCAGCTGCTGCGAGGGATCGTTGCTCATCCGCTGCAACAAATGCTTGGCGTGCTGCTGCTGACAGAGCCTGGCAACCAATACGTATACCAGCCTGCAACAGCAGCAGCAACAGCAGCAGCAACAGCAGCAACAGCAGCCCGATACCTATTCCTACACGAATAAACATCGCCGAATTCCTCTTCCCTCGGGGGCCCCAAATGGTAGTAAGATGCAGCGGACCGTTGCAGCATGGCTAGCTAGCTAGCTGTCCCTCTAACTAGCTAGGGAGCTGCTCGTAGAGGGCTTACCTATGCACATTTGACCTTAGGGCGGCTGTAGTTGCTGCAACATCCGCTGCTGCTCTTGTTGCAGTTGCTGTTGCTTGTGTTGTCGAATCCGGTATAGGTGCTTGCAAGGAGCCAGCAGCAGGAGGTGCTGCAGTGTCCCTTGTGCGGCTGTTGCCGGGTGCCGATCTGCTTAGGGTGGACAATAGGCGCTGCAGCAGCTGCAGCAACTGTTGTCCTTGAGCTTGTTGTTGCTGCTGTTGCTGTTGCTGTTGCTGCTGCTGCTGCTGCTGCTGCTGCTGTTGATGCTGTTGCGGCATCTCGAGCTGCGGCGTAGAGCTTTGCGGGGCGCTCACTTGCTGCTGCTGCCGCTGCAGCTGTCTGTGTTGCTGCTGCTGCATCTGCTGCAACTGCTGCAGCAGCAGCAGCAGCAAGTTCCTCTGGTTCTGCTGCTCAGAAGTTATTTGGCGGCTGTTTCCAGTAAGACTGGCAGCAACAGCAGAAACCTGCGGAAGGACACAGATTCATCAACTGAGCGCGGAGCTGCTGCTGGTGCTGCCGCGTCTGCTGCTACAGCAGAGCACCCGCAGCAGTAGTCATACTAGCAGCAGCAGCAGACCCAGGAGAATAGGAACAACGTTACAGTATAGCTGTTGTTCCCTTAGGGGTTCACCGTTTCGTTTGTTCGCACAGCTGCAGCAGCAGTAGTAGTAGTAGTAGTTGTTGTTGTTGTTGTTGCTGTTGTTGTAGGTGCCGGCGTAGGTGGAACAGGACCAGCAGAAGGGGCAGGAGCAGGAGCAGCAGAAGCTGGTGCTCCCGCAGCAAGAGGAGGAGCAGCAGGAGTGAGGGTTACTAAATTAGTATGCTCAAGATGTTGTCTTGTAGCAACTCTTATCTCCTTGCCACTATCAAAGAGCAGCAGCTGTGGCTCAGCTTTAATTAATTCGTCTACAGATAGACAATTTATTTCCTCCATACGCTGCGATAGGGACTCGCCTGATGGTGCAGCAGCAATGACAGCAATACACGGCAGCAGCTGCTTCTGCTGTTGCTACTGTTGGTGATTCAACTGCTGCTGGCAATGGTAATGATACAGGGGATCAACTAGCACCAGCAGGAGCAGCAGCAGCACCGGCACCAGGACTACGAGCAGCAGCAGCAACAGCAGCAGCGTTTCGATAGCAGAGGAGACTCACCGTATATGTGTCTCCATTCTCTCTTCAGTGCAGAGACCGGCAGCCCTGCGGTGAGGAGACGATAGCGTCGCCGTGCTGCAGCAACAGCAGGAGAACGCAGCAGCTGCTGCAGATACCGGCGTACGGCAGTGGCAGCAGCAGCAGCTGCTGCTGCAGCAGGCGCAGCAGGGAGTGGGGAGGAAAGACCAGAAGGACAGGCCGAACGCGGCAGAGAATGGGTCCCAGCTCCCATATCTGCACTCTGCTGCTGCAGCTGTTGCTGCTGCAGCTGCTGCTGTTGCTGTTGTTGTTGCTGCAGGAGAAGTTGGAGCTGGCTATCGAGCTGCAACAATAGCAGTAGCTGCTGCTTTAACTGAGCTGCGTCCTCCTCCACAGCATCCCCTTGCTGCTGCTGCTGCTGCTGCTTGCTGCATAGCATCTCGCTGAGGTCTTCGTTCTTCATCCACTGCAGCCGCTGCTGTTTGCATGCAGCCCGTACAATATTCACTAATCGCTTCCGTAGCTGCAGCATGGCCTCCTGTTGCTGCTGGGCAGCCATGATGCGCTGCTGCTGCTGCTGTTGCTGCTGCTGCTGCAGAGTTACTCCAGCGCTGGAGAATAAGGGCCTTTGAGCAGCAAGCAACTCCGCCAGTAGTCCATCAGCAAGCGCCTTCTGCTGCTGCTGCTGTTGCTGCTGTTGCTGTTGCTGCTGCTGCTGCAGAATCGACATTTCTCCTCTGCCAGCGCATATGCGACCGCTTTCTGTTGCTGTAAAGCAAGTGCACACACATAACAGCAGCAGCAGCAGCAGCAGCAACAGCAGCACGACAATATTAAACGAGTGCTATCTATAAGACGAAAGGAAAAGTGATTAAATAATTTCTTTGTTTTTTTCTTCGCTATTTCTTCCTTCGGTCTTCTCTTCTTCTCCCTGCAAGCTGACCTCTTCTGCCGCTGCTGTTGTTGCTGCTGCTGCAGTTGCTGTTGCTGCAGTTGCAACTATAGTGTTTTCGTCTGCCCTTCTGGCACCACCTCTGCTTACCTTCCGCGCCTAGAGTTTCAAGTGTTTGCTGCTGCTGCCGCTGTTGCTGCTTGTGCTGCTGTTGCTGCTGCTGCCTCTCGCCCGCGCCTAATAGTTGCAGCAGTTGCTGCAGACGCTCGTCTCCGGCCATACTGCCTGCTGCATCCCGAAGTACTCTTTGCTGCGTTTGCGGCTGCAGTCGCTGCAGCAACTGCAGCAGCGTTTGCTGCTGCTGCTGCTGTTGCTGTTGTTGCTGTTGCTGTTGCTGTTGCTGAGAACTGATCTGCGGGGCTTGTCTGCTGAGGGCGGAGTTCAATTTTTGCAGGACTCCAGCGGAGGGCGCACCTTGCTGTTCTGCGACTGTTGGTGCTGCTGTCTGCTGCTGTTGCTGCTGCTGCTGTTCCAGCAGGCGCAACAGAGCCTCGGCGGAGGACTTAGTTACCTGCGAATTATTGACAGAATAGCCACCGCGGGGGCAAGTCCAAAGGCCGCCTAGCCACGGCCCTTGCTGCTGCTGTTGGTGCTGCTGCTGCCGATGCTGCTGCTGCTTATGCTGCTGCTGCGCGCCGACAGCAGCTTCGAGAAGCGAAGCAGCTGCTGCTGCTGCAGCAGGAGGACCGCCGAGGCGATGTATATCAAGAGCATTTGTTCCGGATAGCAGCGGCGCGGTGGCTACAGCTGGTGCTGTTGGTGCTGCTGCGGCTGCACCGGTTGCTGCTGCGCCTACTGCTGCTGTATAGATAGGCGCTGATAATAAAGCAGAGCTGCTGCATGCATGCTGCGCTGCTGCTGGTGTCGGTTGCCTCCTGAGGGAGTTCGGTATATACTGCGGCCCCTCCGGCACAGACACACCCTCAGCAAGATTTAGCTGCAGCAAACACAAACATAACAGCAGCAGCAGCAGCAGCAGCAGCAGATTATTGTTGTTTGCTGCTGCAGCACCTCCAGTGCTGTATTTGTGCTCATAATGCTGCAGCAAAATTTCAACATTCCTCTACGCTACTGCAGCCGAACTCCCTTCTCCCTACAGCTGCTGCTTCTGCTGCTACTGCTACTGCTACTGCTGCTACTACTACTGCTACTAGGAATTGCTGCTGCTGCTGCTGCTATTGCTGCTGCTGCTGCTGCAGCTGTTAACTAACAAGAAGAGTGCCATTTTTTCTTTGTAGTACAACTTGAGGGAGAGTCTCAAGGAATCCAAAAAGATCGGCGGCGTCGGCAGCAATTTGAAATCGGCGTAAATCGGCTAACGCGCTATACTTCTCCTGCATGCAAATATACATATATATATACATTTACTGCTGCTGTTGCTGCTGCTGCTGTTGCTTTTGCTGCTGTTGTTGTTGCTGCTGCTCGTGCTGCTGCTGGTGCTACTATTGGTTACCTTGATCATGGTGGTACTGCTGCTCGGGTTGCTGCTGCTGTTGCTGCTGCTGCTGCAGAGTTTACCTGCCATAGTTTCGGGAGTGCAGCAAATGGAACACCTTCGAATGGTTGGACGTTGGAGGCATCTGCTGCACCCTCTTGTACAGATTGCTGCTGCTGCTGCTGCTGTTGCTGCTGCTGCTGCTGCTGTTGAACTGCTGCGTCTGCAATGAGGGCGAAGAGGAGGTTACTGAAGAGATGGGCTTCAAAGGATAGGAGAGGACGAACGTAATAAATGAATGGACCAGAGGCTTGCTCCT